AGGGCTACCTCAAAACTTGTGGGGGGAAGCTATACTTTCAGCAAATCATATTCTTAATAAGATTCCCCATAAAACAATGAATATCATTCCATATGAGTTATGGAAAGGACGAAAACCATCATATAAATACCCCAAAATGTGGGGGTGTTTGGCTAAAGTAGAAATACCTAAGCCTAAACAAGTTAGGATTGGACCTAAAACTGTCGACTGTATCTTTATTGGATACGCACAAAATAGTAGTGCTTATCGCTTTTTGGTACATAAATCTGAAGTTTCTGATCTAACTGAAGGAATGACGATTGAGTCCAGAAATGCAGTATTCTTTGAAGATATTTTTCCGGCAAGACGAGAAGAAAGAGGTTCTAACAAAAGAACATACAAAACTGCAATTGAGACACCGGAGCAAGATGAACCAAGACGCAGTAAAAGGACAAAAGTGAAAAAGTCTTTTGGTCCTGATTTTCTATCATATATGATAGAAAATGAACCAAGAACTTTGCAAGAGGCATTCTCAAGTCCAGAAGCTCCATTCTGGAAAGAAGCTGTAAATAGCGAAATTGAGTCCATCATGCATAACCATACTTGGGGGTTAGTTGATCTCCCACCTGGATGTAAACCTCTAGGATGTAAATGGGTCCTAAAAAGAAAATATAAAGCAAATGGATCAATTGATAAATATAAGGCTAGACTAGTAGCCAAAGGGTACAAACAGATCGAAGGACATGATTTCTTCGATACTTATTCTCCAGTAACTCGAATTACGTCCATAAGAGTATTAATTGCTATAGCAGCGTTATACAATTTGGAAATACATCAAATGGATGTAAAAACATCGTTTTTGAATGGCGAGTTGGAAGAAGAGATTTACATGCAACAACCTGAAGGGTTTGTGGCTCCGGGAAAAGAAAGAAAAGTGTGCAAACTAGTTAAATCCCTTTACGGATTAAAACAAGCTCCTAAGCAGTGGCATGCTAAATTTGACACAACGATGTTGTCAAATGGATTTAAAATCAACGAATGTGATAAATGCGTCTACATTAAAAATAATACAAATAAATACGTCATTGTATGTTTATATGTGGACGATATGTTAATATTGGGAAGTACTCATGATATAATCATGAATACAAAGAAAATGTTGAAGAAACATTTTGACATGAAAGACATGAGTCAAGCTGATGTTATTTTAGGAATAAAGATTTCAAAAGAACCAGAAGGAATTTTCTTATCACAATCTCACTATGTTGAGACTGTTCTTAAGAAATTCAATCAGTTTGAGACTGTATTCCAGCTAGAACACCTGTTGACATTAGTTGTCATCTAGGTAAAAACCGAGGAGATCCAGTTTCTCAAGTGGAATATGCAAGGATCATTGGTAGTTTAATGTATCTAACTAATTGTACTAGAAGCTGATGTTATTTTAGGAATAAAGATTTTAAAAGGACCAGAAGGAATTTTCTTATCACAATCTCACTATGTTGAGACTGTTCTTAAGAAATTCAATCAGTTTGATTGTGTTCCAGCTAGAACACCTGTTGACATTAGTTGTCATCTAGGTAAAAATCGAGGAGATCCAGTTTCTCAAGTGGAATATGCAAGGATCATTGGTAGTTTGATGTATCTAACTAATTGTACTAGACCTGATATTGCATATGCAGTGAACTACTTGAGTAGATTCACAAGTAATCCAAACGAAGATCACTGGAAAGCTTTGATAAGGGTACTTAGATACTTAAAGTATACCCGAAATTATGGTTTGTGTTATTCTAGATATCCAGCTGTGTTAGAAGGTTACAGTGATGCGAATTGGATATCAGATACTAATGACTCCAAAGCCACTAGTGGTTATGTGTTTACCATCGGTGGAGGAGCAATCTCCTGGAAATCTTCTAGGCAAACGTGTATAGCTCGATCTACAATGGAGTCCGAGTTTATAGCCTTAGATAAGGCTGGAGAAGAAGCTGAATGGCTTCGTAACTTTCTAGAAGATATTCCGTGTTGGAACAAACCTGTGTCTGCTGTTATGATTCATTGTGATAGTACGTCAGCAATTGGTAGGGCACAAAATAGTATGTACAATGGTAAATCTCGACATATACGTCGTAGACATAATACCATCCGACAATTGATCTCAAATGGTGTAATAACCATAGATTATGTTAAGTCTAAGGAAAACTTAGCAGATCCGTTAACGAAAGGCCTTAATCGAGATCAATTGTACAAGTTATCGAGAGGAATGGGATTAAAATCCACGAATTAAAAGAATGACCATAGCGGTAACCCAACCTTGTTGACTGGAGATCCCAAGATCTTGGTTCAATGGGAAAACCAAGTTATGGAAGTTCAGTGAACACTTGGAACTTATTTCCATCTCATTCCTAAAGCGATAATCCAAGTGTAAGAAAAATCTGCGTATCGTGGTGAGGTTGAATTCCATATTGAATTCTTAATGATTCCTACACCTTAAATAAGGTAGAGTATAGCAGAATACTTTCGACATAAAGTTCGGTAGGTAAGATCACCTATATAAGTGAGGAGTTATGATGGCCGCTCCTATAAAGAAAAAAAAACACTTATGAATCCAAGATGTGGTCCATGGCCGAAACGGACAACAACATGAGAACAAAAACGAAAGTTAGAAATATTATTGTGTGAATACTGGTTGTCTTGGTATATGTTATAAAACTGGAGGGTTCAAGGCATCATCATGTCCATCAACTGGTTAATATGCCCGACAGTATTTCACTAAGGAAGGTTCAAGGCAAAAAACTACCATCCTGATGCAATAATAATTCATCGGAACTCTTTGGAATAAACAGTTTTTATGCATTCATTAATTTTCATTCATGTGGGGGATTGTTAGAAAAATGTTATTAATTTCTTAAAACCAATTTGTGGTGAATGAGAAATTAATTTTAAAATATGGTTATACAAAATAAATATAAAAATGTGGAGGAAGAACATTTGTCCAACATTGGAAAAATGACAAGCACAAGGAAGGAAGCTTCCTTATATTTATGTTTGTCCCACATCTAAAGTTTTGGCCAAGAGGAAGGAAGGAGTTTCCTTATAAAAAGAGCTCCCCGTGAGTCAATAATGTTCAAGCTCAAGGTTGACTAAAGCTAAAAATGCTTGTTTCCACTTCTTCCTTTTGGGAGAAAACGAGCAAAGTTCCCCGAGTGGAACCTTTAAACTTTGGATTGAAAGTTCCACTCGGGACTATTCGATTCAGAGAAAAACGTTTCGATGTGGGATTTAAAATTTAAAGTTGCGCGTCGATGTGGGACAGTTGGGCTCCGAACCAATGCGTTCTTGACGAAACGTTTCCTTTTGGAACGATTCGAAAAGAACCGCTGGTTGAAAGGGTGGAACCTCTTCCTTCACATGTTTTCGTAGCAACCCCCGAATATTATAAATAGGGCGCCCATAGGATCATTTTCAGCATCCCATTTTTTTCCGAGTACATTCTTCCTTTCAGAAAGAAATAATCTCAAACTTTCTCTAAAGAGTTCCGAACTTTTGTAGTTCGTTGGATTCTCTAAAGCAGGTGGTGCTTTTGTAGAATCGTAAGTCGTTGTATCTTGGAGACGATTGCCATAAACCGTAACCACTTGATAACGGGGCAATTTCATCTTGAGGAGATTGTGTCTAACACAAGCCTCGACTTAACCCACTTCAAAAATTTTCTTTTCTTTTGGAAATTCTGTCTGAATTTCTGAATCCCACATCTGCGGATTCAACACATTGTTTGGCAGACAATCCAAGGACAACTTCCGACAGCTAATCGCTTGGCAGCCTGAGGAATGCAGATAACGACGCGATATATCCTGTGCAGTGCGGAGGACGAATCTCACGTCCATTTGTTCTTCGCATGCCCCTTTAGCACTCATATCTGGAAGACGATGGCAAGGGCTTGCTGGCCATCTCCTCCGGACACGCTGCGAGATTGTCGACAGTGGGTGGACGATCCGGGACACGCTATAGACATAGGCCAGCCAGTTATTGTCAAACTTCTTGCCCAAATGTCCGTCTATGAACTGTGGAGGGAGCGGAACAATAAGATCTTCAGGGGTAAGACACGGACTACCCAGGAAATCCGACGCAAGATAGATCGCACAATGCGAGACACACTCCTAGCTTCTAATGTAGCACATCAAGACATCACACAATGTCGTTTGCTTGAGCATTGGTATCATCTCACATACACTACTTGAGAGATTGACATTAGTTTTTGTAAGTTGTTGGGTCCTATAGTGATTCTATCATTATAGAAATTGGTTATCTTTTGGTTGTTTTTAACCATTGGGGGTCTGTAAACCACATTTTTGGTAGATAATACGAAGCACATTCTCATAAAAAAAAAAGTTCCTTTCCCTCCATTTATAAGAAGGCAAATTCATTTTGTCTTTGTTTTTTAGGGCGAACTTTTATGCTTATTTGTTTAGGGCAAAGCTTAATCCATCCATAGACCCTTTTTCCCTCCTCTTTAGTTTTATTTTCAAGATAATTTTTTCCCTCCACCAAGACGTTCGCAATGACTATCACAATTCCGTAAGCGATTCGATCTACCCTTAATTTTGTTTTTTTATAATCCAGAAATTCACCAATAATTTATCTCAAACTACATCTCCTAGATAGAGGAACGAGGAAGTTCTGGTGAATGTTATACGAGCATAACTAACGTAATATTTTCAAGGCATGAGAGAGATATATAAATAGAAGAGAACCATGGCGAGAATGTATTTTTTATGTCCAAGTGTGGGCGGCAAAATTATAAGGTGGAAGTATAGAGTGCTCTCCCACCCGAGTTCAAACCCCGCCTTGGGTAAACCATTACAAAAACGCTTTTTAATTCTATAAATCCGAAGGTGTACAGCAGTTTCATGTTCGTTAACTTGTTTCTCACCATAGGAATTTTTATAGGACAAGTTTTTGTTATATATATATAAAAAAACATATATATATATATATATATATATATATATATATAAATATATATATAAACATAAACATATTCATGATTCTTATTATTACCAAATTTCGGGCAAAGCAAATACTGACTTTCGACATGAAATGATTTCAACAAACATCAAAACCCCAAATGGAAAACGAACACACATCAATCCCATTACAAACAGAAGATGCATGAAAATAAACCGATTTATTAAGCTTGGAGATATCAGATTAGAGTTTCTTCTTTAGACAAAGTCCATTCGTGAAGAACTTTGCCGTCCACGTCATAGTACACGAACTTGGTGTTCAAGGGTGTGATTTGGAATGACATGAAGCCTTGCCCATCATAGTATAGTTTCAGTTCTGTCGGATCCCATTGCTTTACCTCTCCCTCCCACGCCCTTGATCCTCCTCCGCTCGTCAAAAATTGGATTTTGCTGCTCGCAAATCCACATTTATTACAAAATCTTCTTATAATAACTTTATTGTCAAAAAGGATATTATTTTTTAAAGTTTCTTATTGATGATGGTCGCGGTTGCGGTTGGTAATCATATCATATGAATGTTATATGGTATCTTGTAGTGAAAAGTTACGTGTTTATGAAACTTACTTCTTGGAGCTAATTATATGTTGGAGGGAATGGTCATGACCATTTACGTACATGTCCACGTTATTCGCCTAAAAACAACAATAACAACAATTTTTTAAATAGAAAAATAAAAGAAAGAAAACACATAGTAACATATAAATAAAGAATGACCTCAAGAAGGGGAAGAACTTGATCCACGAGCTCCTGGGTTACACCCTCGGCGCCGGCGCTCAGGACCGGGTGATGTCCCACGACGATTTTCCATGTGGCACGTGACCTTTTTAAACCCAATTCTAAATCCTGGAAAAGAAAATGTTCAAAACAAAGATTTATATGATATATACATATGTATATATATATATATAATATTGATCATATTTTAAAAAATAAAGGATGTAAAATATGGGGTGTAACTACATGCAACAGGTTTGCGAGATACTGTTTTCTTGGCAAGACTGGCTTCGAGTTGAAGATACGCATTTTCGTGTCGTTGTAGTACTTGTTGACAAAGGGAGTTGTGTCCACGAAGAAAAAATCGACCAACCCTTTGGTCGTGACCAAAACGAAAGATCTACGACAAAGCCATCTCTTGTCCTTCTTGACAAGAGCGTCACTTAGCTGTGCTTCAACGTCTCCCAAATAATCATGATTTCCCAACACTGTTGTCACATTTTTCAGAAAATGGGTATTATCATTTAGATATTGGAAATGACAATTTTGTAGTCCTAATTACATAATTTACAGAGAAACTTCCAAAACAAATACCCAAACTTTTTAATTTTCCCAGAAAAAAAAAATATAAACTCTATTTTTTTAAATAAAAACCGAACTCATTCTTTGTTGGAAAAAATCTGAACTTTATAAAATTTGTCATTTTTAAATCCAACTGCTGACGTGAGAATTTGTGACTTTGATTGAGATGCTGACGTGTACTGCTCACTCAAATCACAAATTAATACGTATGATATAGAAATATTAGGTCATCAATTAGGTTAAAAAAAGACCATTTATAAAATTTGAGTTTTATTTGACAAAAAATGGAGTTTAAATTTTGGGATTTTTCCTGATTTATATATATATATTTATTTATTGAGGAGGTGAAAATTACCACTATACCACTGTTTCTGGAGGCTTGGATGAGTGTAGATGTTGGTGAAGGATTCTTCGAAGTTAGTGTCATCGACTCCGGTTAAGCCATTGTCATAGAAGTTATCTCCCGACGATATCACAAAATCTATGTCGAGCTCTTGCCCCATCCTTCCCATCTGCCCCAAAAAAAAAAAAAAAAAAAAACGTTCGTTACTAATCACCTCAATTATTATACACCAACAGTCGTTATTTTTCTTAATTACCGTAATAAAAGACTGAATTCTAGTAAAAAAAACTGAAATTGTAATCCGAAATGACTTCAGATTGAACGTGAATGTTTCTTGATAATGATAATCTCTATGATCCATTGTTATTTTCTCTAAATCTAGCGTTTATTTTATTATATGATATGGGATATGCATATGCTGTTGTCGTCGGTGAATATCTGGAACGCGTGTATATATATATATGTGTGCATATATATACCTGATCTGCAACACGAGATTGATTGAACTGTCCCTTGCGTCCCCAATCTCCGACAACAAGAAAGCTAAGAGAGCCATCTTCTTTGGTCGAACGATGTTCGAACCTCGGAAACTCCGAGACACAACTCTTCAATATGCATAGAAACACGGATACACCAACCACGACCGAGATCCTCATGCTTTTTTTTTTTTTAAAAAATTCTTAGAAAAAAACAAATGGAAATATTTCTTTTGTTTGTGTGAGTATATGTATATATATACACGTTATTTTTCTCTGGTTAAGGACTATTTGTTTTGGTAAAATGTTTTTCTCTTATTAAGGACTATTTGTTTTAGAAGAAATAAATTTAGGATAAGAAACAAAAAAAAGGAAGTTCTAATGTTGGTATATATGGTAAATAGCCAATAGCATGATGAAAATATACCTTTTTCATGTGAATTGAACTTGAGAGAAGCGTTATTTATTTCCTTATTCACAATGTTAAAATAAGAAAGAATCTTTTTTTTTTCACCAGATAAGAAAGAATCTAATATATTTGGAAAAAAATCCATCTTAGTTCACATTCAGATAATACAACTTTAAGATAGCAATTAAATACTTAGCACATATATATTTCGAAAGAAATCAACATGATCCAAATCTGGATCGTTCAACCGGTGAAACGGAAACATATCCCGTATCAAATTCGAATCTCAAGTTTGGAGAGGTAACGTATAATCAAATCGAATGACTGACTTCCGACTGCGGGATTAATTATATGATCTTTGGTCCAAAATATCCGATTACAAAAAAAAAATCAACATGGATAGCACAAAGAGATTTTTCGAATAGGTCTCGAAACTCTCTTAAATAAAATATGCGCTCCCCGTAAGAGCTGATTTGTACTTTGTGTCTTATTATATAGGTTTCTCTTTCTTACCCTAAATCTTGACGAAATCTTGACGAATTGATCTGATAAAATCCTCCTTGATTCGTTCCAATTTCGTATCTATCTTTAAAATTCCATCTGTATCTCAAATGCTTCAAGTCTTTAACTTTATCTTCCACTCTTCAAGTTTATCTCAAGATTGTTCTTATGAAATCTTTTCAGATTGTTCTTATGAAATCTCTCAAATTTATTGACATAATCTCTTAGAATCTCATCTCTAATCTTATTGTCTTTATGTCTTCGGATTTGATTCCATTAGTTGAACGTGAAACAAACACTTAACAACCAAAATTTCCGAGTACAAATAATTGCACTAACACATAGAACCTAATAGATTATAGAAGAAATCAACATTGGATCACATTCAAACAAATATAAACTGTATAATATAATTAAATACCTAACATAATACATTTAAGAAGAAATCAATTTTGGGTCACATTCAACGACATAACTCTATAATAAGATGTACGAAACTACATTGACTTATATATATTTTTTCCACATTGTCTTATATATAGATATTTCCTCCTCCATTTGCCAAACTTTTCACGAATTAGGCTGATAAGTTGCTCATGGATCGATTTTGATACAAAGACATTTCAATTTTTTTTAAAAGTGGAATGGGATGAAATTTCATGACATTTTAATATAAAATCGTAATAAAAAATAAATCCATCCATTTTAATATGAAATTTCATGACAGTTTGTTTGGTCCTACGATCTTTGGCCCTATGGTCTTCTTCTATTCAGACAAGCTGCAGAAGTCGAAAAAATCGGTGTCGGAGATAATAACTCATTTCTACCCTTTAATCAAAGGGAACGTTAGCATCGATTGCAACAACTCGGGTGTTGATTTCCTTGAAGCAGAAGCTCCGGACATCACCTGCGACCACCAGAAAGAAACAGGGGACATGATCGCGAGTGGGGAGTACGGTTTCTGCATCTTCTCGAGCGTCTGTCGGTTCGGTCTGTACGAAACGGTCTTCGGATGGGGAAAACCGACACGGGTCAGAGTTCCGTCTGTTCAACAGAAGAACATGTTGGTGTACGAAGGAGCCTGGAGGAATCCAAGCGTGGGTTAATCTGCATGAAGAAGAGATGAATGAATCTCTTTGAAGAAGACGGAGACTTTCTCGAATTCGCTTCTCCAAATCCCTGCGTCATCGAACCCTTTCTCCAAGTCCGAAGCTTCAGAGCAAATAAATATGATGACCTGGGAAAGAGAAAGACCCAACGCTGAAATCAACTAGCCGTTGGAGCTACGATATGATGACATGGAAAATCCAATAAATAATAAATGAAAATTAGTTCCTGTAATGTAAGTAAACGTTTCCTCTGTATTTGTCTTAAAAAGAGAGTCACAGTCATAATCAGAAATGGCCTTGGGTTTCAAAATTCAAATTTGAGATTGGAGCGGAGCCAAGATCGATCAAGAAGTGCAGTTTCTCCGGCGAATCGTCTCCATTAATCCAGAAGAATCGCAGATGCCTCCGGCGTTGCCTACATGCTTCAAGAGCGAGATTCTCATGTCACCTGTTTCACGGCATCACAGATTCGCGAAGCGGGACATTGGGTTTGCTCTGCCGACAAGGATACAGCTCAGTGTCCGAACCGACGATGACCGCAAGAGGTTGAAAACTCCGGCCGCTTTTACTTTCAGGCGATTCTGACGAAAAGGAGGCCGAGACGCTCAATCCAGACCTTTTCGAGGCCATCGCCCTCCCTCGACAGCGGCGCCGCTGCCATGCCCGATGACAAGCTCCTTGTTGATCAGGTTCTCTTTTCCTTTCCTTTTGATTCACAGTGTGGCTATGATAGACTGGAACAAGAACTTTTCAGGGTACACTATGATGAGTCTTAGAATTAGCTCGAAGTTAATCTGATAGTAAAGTATTGATTTGAGGACCAGTCTGTTAGAATCCAGAACCTTGAGAGCAGTTTCGAAAGTCAAATCGATGGGCACTGGTTCATGGTAGTAAAACATGGTTCCTAATTATGGATGATACATTAGCAATGCTAGTTAGGGTTCACATGGAGAATGCAATATACAAGTTTGTTCTTGGTAATCAAATCTATCATACGATAGTGCCTTTTCTCTCTGGTTAAGGTTTGGACAGATAGTGCGGAAGCTGGACGCGGTTAATCCTACCAAGGCGCCTCTGAATTCTGGTATACTCAATGGAGAATGGAAGATCATTTATACGACCATTTTTCAGATAAAGGTAAAACCGAAATCTGTTTAAACGATGCTGTGATATTTGTATTCAGTCCCAAGCATTTCCAGAACTTAAATAAATGGACATTTTGAATCAACCAAGAAAAAAGGAAATGAGTTGCCTTCTTAAATATTTAGAGATCCATAATGAAGAACATTCCTTTTCTCCTTCATTTTGACTGTTAATCTTTATGTATGGAAATATAATAGTATGCAGGTACCACAGGCGAGACTGAGCTCAGCCCCACCAAGACAATATAGAAACCGACATCTATACTTGAACAACAATGCGAAATCTCATCGACCTCCCGAGAAGATTTCTTCGGCAATCACTAGAATTACCGAGGAAGATAATATCTGGAGTTAGGTACTTTTCTTTTTCCTCTTCAAAATTCAATTTCTTATTTTGTTAGGAGAGTGTCTTCTTCTTCCTCAGTTTTCTTCTGGAATATGATGATCCACAGGCAAACACCCTGTAAGTAACTCTCTCTTTTATGGGATAGTTTTAATCTGTTTCTTTAATGATCATGATTATGCTGCTTTTTTTATGTCTGGGATGATATGTGGTTGAGTTGTAACAGGGATTAGATTAGGAACCAATAAGAATCTGATTTAGAAATTGACAAAACTTGGTATATATTGAAAATGTATATATTTTGTATTTTATTTACCTTGTGTAAAAGCTTCAGAAACGCTTAGAACACTTGTTAGATTTGCATTGCTGTTGTTATGACCGTTTATTGATGCATAGCTTCTTCCACCTAAGATTTTCATGGGGTTGAGTTTGTTGCTAAGAAAACATCTGCCGAGGGAGACAATATCTGAAGCTAGGTACTTCTCTTTTGTATCTTCAAAATTCAAGACAAGTCGAACTGTCTTCTTCCTCAGTTAGCTTCTAGAATCTGATTTTCAACAAGGAATTGACATCAGATTCTAGAAGCAAATAACTCCCTCTGTTGTGTTACCTTTACCTTTTCGAGAAAGTTTTAGTTTTTTTTTATTATTATGACCATGCTGCCTTTTTATACTTCGGATGATCTGTTTTCGTGAAAGTTTTAGTCTTTTAGACTTGCTTGTTAGATTTTCATCACTGTTATAAGCTTCAAAAACTCGTAGAACACTTGCTTGTTAGATTTTCATTGTTGCAGTTCTGATCGTTTAGTGATATGTAGCTTCTTCCTCCTAATGGTCTCATGTGGTTGACTTTGGTGCAAAGAAAGCAAGAGGGGAGAAAGCAAACATACAAGTAAGTTTCTCTTTTATGTGATTTTTCCCAAATTAGGAAAGTTGGAATTTGGACAGTTTTATAAGTCCGAAAAAATTCGGGTCGATCTGAGCTCGAACTTGAAACCCTCAAACTAAGTACAGACTCGGGTTAGATCGGGCTGATCCATTTAACATCCTTAAAAAAACTTGGTATAGATTGGGATGAAATTTATACACAAAAGTTCAAGCCTCTACCATGCTTATAGATTGAGATCAAGCCTCTACCATGCTTTGAGAAAGCTATATATGAAATGTCCAAGCTTTCTCTCTCTTTTTTTACGTGGTTTGGATTCATAATAGGATGTCAATTTTGGTCCGAACCCCAGCCTGGCCTAAAAAATAGCGGGTTTCAAGCATAAAATCTTGGTCTGAAAATTTCTGTGTTTTCGGTCGGACTCAGATCGAGATGCGGACCGACTCGAATCCGAACTCAAGTCCAAAGTCTATAGGGTCGGATTTTGGAGTTGATTACCCGCCTTATAACAATTTAGAGACCGGATTTCAATATGTCTAAACCCCAAAACTCGAGTTCGGGTTTGGGTTGGTATTCGAATAATAAAAAAAATAAGCATTATAACTGTAACGTCGCGACACCAGTGCAGAATGTTTCACGAGATATTTTAGCGTACTTTGTATAACGCTTCGAGGTCGCTAACGAAAGTTGAAACTGCCGTCACACACCAACACGAGACCTTTCAACGTGTTTTGTCCTCACTCGTATGCATATCGAGAAACACTTCCCAGTGAGTCACCTATCCTTAGATTGCTCCAGATCGAGCACACTTAATTTTGAAGTTCTTCCGAGATAG